TTTCAGTAGTGTGTGTGAGAGCGTTTCAGTAATAATGTCCCTTACGGCACCTCATAATGGTTCATCTCTGCTCTGGTTTCCAATGATGCATAACACCTCTCTCTTTTATTCCGTGTCTAATGGCGGTGTCAGCTGTCTGGATTTGGTCAGTGTTGTTATGATTTTTCAGACGTCACATTAACCTATTTTACAAACTTTTTTCTGCCCTTTTAAAAAGCTGTTATTTGAAGTGTCACTGAGGCAACACATATTGCTTTGTGGACTTTAACTTAATACACCTCATTGATGTGTCTGCCTTTGCACATTATTCACTAATTGGTTATGTTGAGTTTTCTGTGCCCTTTAATTCAAAAATGTCAGGTGCTATTGCTAGTTGCAACTTGTCAAAACACAAATTTGCTCTCTTATTTCTTTTAATCATATATTTATGTTTATATATCTATATATATGTCATTAAATTGTTTGAAATTATTAGCAACAATTGATCTGGTGCTAAAATAATTGTAGTGGACTACAATTTTCATGACTAAATAATAATTGGGTTAAAAAACATTTTTAACCTAATCTTGCAGCAAGGAATCATAAGCTTAATCGTTCTTGCTTCTTTTTTCACCTTTTCTGCTTATAAGCAAAATCACAATGTCTGACCATAATCCAACAATTCACCTGTCTCCTTGTGTTTATTTATATTTTTAAAAAATAAATAAATACAAAAGCCACTGTAATACAGTATTACTCATGATTAATTGAATTTGCGTCTCAATTATGGATGAGCATATGGGTTTATGATACGGTTTGTAATAGCCAGGGGCGGAGGTGATTCATCAGGTGATTGTAGGTCCACACAGAGAGCGCCGTGGCATCTGTATTAGTTTGAATCGAACCCCTGCAGGAGTCGCACTGAGCCACTGAGGTCAAATCAACCGTGCAATAATCAGATTAAATACACCCCATTTCACTGCTTCCTGCAGCTTTGCAGTAAAACACTGCTGCACACTGAGGCCTCAGGGCATGTCAGACTGACAAGGCTTGTTTTGGTTTGGGTATGTGCGTGTTCAGTCCTGCTGAAGGGTACATCTACAGTTGTTGTTATATAGATATCATCTCAAGAGTGTGAACCCTATTTGATGATACTGTGCATGGCTCTTTTCTTCATTCTTTTATGTTGAACTTCACAGAGCAAATTCAACAATTCTCAGAAAACCTAAATCATGATCTTGTGCTATACATTTTGCTGTACAGTACAACTGTTTTTCTTTTGCAAATGTAATGCACCTCTTTCTTTAAAGGTGCAGAAGGTTACTTAGATAATACAAGTTACAGGTGGAGCCCAGATGAAAGCACTTTTTTCTTGGTTTTGTTTGTCAAGCACTTGCTGATAATATTTGAAGTAGGCATGAAAAGCCAGTGAGGGAAATGTCCCATATATTGAAGCTCATTATTAGTTTGAAATTGGAAGACCTAAAAACAGGGGATCTCGTCCGTGTAATAGCATAAGCTTCAAAATATCAGACAGATGATCCATGGTTATGTTACGGGTATGTTAGTATGGGTTAAATGGAGTACTATGGTTATTTCCTAATTTACATCCGGACTTGTTTTTCCACCTTATGCGTACAGTGTTTTATTCTTTTATTTTCCCACAACCTCACATGCACATTAAGCAATCCTAGCAGTTGCTGATAGTTTGGAATTTTCTGTTGGTTATGCAGCTAGCACCTAATGATGCTGCTAATGTCTCTTCATACTGCTAACCTCAAACAGAGATGGTTTACTTCTTTTTAACTCCATGCTGGTACCTGCCAGCAGTGAAATCTACCATGAAAACATCACTGTAGTGCTTAATGAAATAAACAGAAACTTAAACATTTTTTTAAATATGAAAACTAACTGACTGCCTTGTTTCACACTGGGTTATGGAGCAGTAACAGGGGCTGCTGTAAAGGCAAGTTGCCATGCCATTAATAAACACTGAATCTTTCTGGGTTTCCCTTCTCCAACTGGTATTGCACAGATTGCCATACTCATATTTGTGTTTTTGTTTAAAAAGTTCCTGTACTTACTTTATTTTTATATTAACTTATTTGCATTTTTCTGTGTAATTTTGAGATTGAATTACTCAAAACAATTAATCTGTAGTGATTCAGTCCAGAACCTGTTTGGGCTGTGGCTTACCCAATTAACCAATCAGCCAGTACCAGTTGGTCACCTAATAAAGTTGTTTCCTAATACTTTAAGTGTCACTGCAGTCTTCACGTCATCATATTTTTGTTTAAAAATCAGTAAACTTTTGGAAAAAAATTACACAAACAGTTAGCAATACATGATCGAATGATTAGTGTGCAGAGGTCATCAAGCTCAGCTGGCATTAATGTGGAGGTCACAGTGTTATTTCCTAGCACCTGAACAGTAAACCCCTTTATGAGTAGCAGGTTGTTTTACAACATAACTTTGACCAATCTCTACTTTATCAAGCTAACCAGCATATATGCTGATCAGCCTACCAAACCACAGGCAAATCTTTACCCCTAAGTGCAAGCAAGAAAACTTGCATATTTACCTTTCACATTTGATTAACTTAAAGACACCAAAGAAACAAAGTAACTTGTTAAATCGGAGTAATACTGGCCAGAAAGGCAAGTTAAAATTGTTGATGTTAGATGCAGAAAAATGCATTTGGCAGAAACTTTACTGCCTCAAGCTTAGTTTTGATTATTTTTTTTAGATAATAATCAGACAGAATTCAAAATCTGAACCATTCATAAGATTGTATTGTACACAGCTCGAAAGCAGATCTAAAACAAAATTGCAATGCAGTCTAATTGTGTACATTATTATGTCAGTTCTTTGCATTAAAAACAAAACAGAAATCTGGGGCTGGGGGAGGGGGAGGGGCTAGTAAAGCAAAAAACAAGCTGAACTTGGCTGGTTGCTCTCTCTGCTTGCACTCAAGTTTTAAAGCGTACTTTTTAATGTGTTGTTAATGATTTCAGATCTGCAGTGTGCAGATTGTCAAATTTTGCCAAGACAAACAGACACACCATTGGAGTTTGGTTTTTACAGTTTCTCAAAGTACAAGAACATTTTTCTAACAAAATAATCTCTCCGTAGGAACTTTTGAGTCACTCAACTGACCGACCGGAGAGACAACAACTGAAGGAGGCTCTGGAGGCTATGCAGGTGTGTTTGTGGGTGCTGTTTAAAAAAAAATCTTGCAGAATCACCCTCTTAGCTAAAGCTACATAATTACATACAGCCACTGTGTTGCTCAAGTGTTGTAAATACAGCTTGAAATAGCAGATGCCTGAAAGAATGTCTGGCTCTTCCAGGACCTGGCCATGTACATCAATGAAGTCAAGAGAGACAATGAGACACTGAAAAAAATCAGCGAATTCCAAAGTTCAATAGAAAATCTTGTAAGTACTCCACACTTTCCTTGCACTTGTTTTCTTTTGAGCAGCTAAGAACATTTTAAAGGTTGTTCTTTAATATATACATGCCAACACACTGGCATGTTATCAACAGGTGTTTTTGAAGTTCGACAGAATGATTAGTCTCTCCTCAGAACACCTCTATCTTTCAAACTGCTTCCATGATCCTCAGCCATGATAATTCCCTTAATAACTCATTTATGTAAACTGCAAACTGCTCACTTTAATATTTTGTGTAGCACCAACCTTTTTTCTCGTTTTTCTATCTCTCTATCACAATTTCTTTTGTTGTTCCTTGTTGACATGCCAAGTCAGTATTCAGTTTTGGTTTGTACATGTGCCACATATACAGTACAGTAAAAGTGCTCTGAATAATTTATACATGTAGCCACTCTGTATGACTTTGGAAAAAAGTCAAAGGGAGGATGGAGATGTAAGTGTAGAGCAAAATCATCGTTTATCGTGGATATTAATTCTCTCTGAAATTAAAAGTCTAGCAAAATTATTTATTAAAAATTGCAGAATCCATTGGTTTAGTAGGCTGCTTTTTATATTTGTTTGGGTTTTTTTGTTTTTTGTGACCTAAGCAGCAGGTGAAGCTGGAGGAGTACGGGAGGCCAAAGATAGATGGAGAACTGAAGGTGTGCTCCTCTATGAACCGAACAAAACAGGACCGGTGAGTCCAAGTTCTATAGTAAAACTAAACTATAATAACCTTTAGCAACATTTTATCGCTGCCAATATTCAATAAAAATGTATGATTGTCTTCAGGTATATATTCCTCTTTGATAAAGTGGTCATTGTCTGCAAGAGGAAAGGCTATAGCTATGAGCTCAAAGAGATTATTGAGCTGCAAAATCATAAAATGTCGGATGACCCGACGAACAACAGAGACATGAAAAAGGTAAGAACATCACGGTTTGAAATGAGACAGAGCAATTTCGTCAGTGAGATCTTTGTAAAGGTGGCCCGGCTGGTGTAGGCGATGAAGCGGCATGTGTAATCATTACAAATGTTGCCCTTGAGCTGAAGGAGCTTGTTGATGGTAATTTCTGATGTGATTTCAGATGGGGTAATACACTGTTGTGTCAAACGTGCATTGTGTTCATTCGTGCTTGTAAAATCATGTAAATGCAATGAAGATCATTTAGGATTCATGACAACGTACTGAAGTGCACTGGGCATCCGGTCTAACATGGCTTTTTTGTTTTTGGATCTGCATGTGTGCGTACATGTTTGCATGTGTAACTGGGTCTTTCTCTGGTGTCTTTCTTTTTGCATGCTTACCAGTCCTGTGGAAAAATGGTAAGCTCAAATGATCCCCTTATTTAACACATCTTCTCATAGCGGCTTTGTTTGTGTTTTGGCTGTGGTGATTTTTGGGATGTAATACCTTGATTGCATATGCACAGTCTGAGTCTGTGACCAGCTTCTTATCCAATTAATTGCTAAAGCATGTTGATGATCTTTTAGGTCTGACTTGATTTGACCATATATTTGTTGGAACTGCTGATATCACATGCCTCTTTCTTATCTCGGTCTGCCATCCACAAACCTTTTTCTGCCATCTGTTCAACACTCACTTTTTCTCACCAGTGGTCTTATGGTTTCTACCTGATCCATCTGCAAGGGAAGCAGGGCTTCCAGTTCTTTTGCAAAACTGAGGAAACAAAGAGGAAGTGGATGGAGCAATTTGATATGGCCATGTGAGTACGACTAGTTGGATAAAATGTATTTTATGTGAGACTAATTGTCTTTGCCATGTTATTTTTCAGTAGCATGGGAAAAAATAAAGAATCCTAGGTATCCTCGGTTTAACTGGTTTATTTAATTCCATATTATTTACTTATCTAGGTCCAACATCAAGCCAGAGAGAGCCACAGCTAATCAGCACAACTTTGAAATGCACACATTTGATAAGAATACCAACTGTCGAGCCTGCAAGATGCTCTTGAGGTAATGACCCTGACAACCCCAGCGCTGGTATCTCTAGTGCCGTTAATAATGCACACCAAATACATCCTTATTCCAGACTCTCTAGTGACTGTTATGTCAGCATTTGGTAGCAACAGCATTTTTATGTGTTACTTATCCAGACAAACTTTATGAAGCAGAGACACTGTATGTCCAAAATATGCAACGGTAGAATTATTAATAAATTATGATGCACAAAAAAAGAAGTTCAAACTGAATGTTTTCACTGTCACCATCTTGGTGTTTTGAAACCACGTGTGTCAGCAGATGAGCAGGAAACAGAGGACATTCTGTGGCTAATCACTTGTGATTGACAGTTTGTTAACCAACGAGCATCCTGGATAATCCTCCTCTCTGATTCCCTGACTTATAATTTACAAAATAGACTTAATGTTTTATTCAGAGTGTCATGAAAATAGCAACTGAGCCCAATAAAATGATCAAGGAAGTGTTTACTGAGAACACAAAACCAGGGAGCTGATGGTCTTTTTGGCAAAGAAGCACTGCTGCCAGGAGACCTTTTGCAACTACTCCCACGTTGGCTTCACTTTTTCATAAAAGCACACAAAAGTTATTACAGTTAGGTAAGTATTTGGACAACAACACAATTTTTGTAATTTTGACTCTGTACACCACAAACAGAGGACAAAAGAAATACCCTTGGAGTGGAGTATACGCTACAGCAGTACAAATATAAAAATAAATAATTTAAGTAGCATTTGGTAGTGAACAAACAAACAGACTTAAATCACAGAGGGAATATGTTTTTGGCTCGCATAACCCGTCATTAGTGTGAAAGCATTCTTTGGAAAATATTCTAGTAAGTGTGACTGCGGCTGACGGATGTTATTTTTAAACATTTCCCGGCCCCGCACCACCCACAGTGTTCCTGAGTACACCTTCTCTCATGTGAGAATGCTGCTCGTCTGCAGTGGGATAGCCCGTGTCACTGAATCACCACTTTCACCTCTATTAGAGTCAGCCGGCTAAACCCCACTCTGTGTATTGACCCACAAATTGCATGGCTTTGCTGACCTAAATTCACAGAGCCGATGGCAGCAGGGACCAGCGTTCTCTCTTCCTGCTAGATGCTAATTACTGCTGCAGTCCCAGCAGATCCCATCGTGATTTATGGCACTTACTATTCAACTTGGCAGCGTGCGATGCATGCAGTGTTACAGTACCCGTAACAAATAAACTTCAGGAGTACACGGTTTAAACTGAGCCAGTTGATTTGGTGATTTTTAAAGAATTACAGAACGGGAATGATGGAGGATGTGGATTCGCAGTTGGAACAATTATAGGAACAAGCAGCAGGTCCCCTTGTGTGTTGTTCTTACAGGAGGTTAATTTGTGTCTCAGCCACTTCCTGTTTGCATTACTAAAGTGCATGTTTCTGTGTGTGTGTGTGTGTGTGTGCCTGTCCTCAAGGGGCATCTTCTATCAGGGCTACTACTGCTCTCGCTGTGGAACAGGAGCTCACAAAGAGTGTCTAGAAGTGATCACCATTTGTAAAATAAGTAGGTATTTCCTCTTTAATAGAAGATGTTATTCAGATGACTTTGTGAGGGTCAAGTAGTGAGCAAATGATAAAAATAGATAAATAAAAACTGTGTGACATATGTCACGGACATGCAGGGCAATAATGATGACTGCTGTAATTTGATGACCCCTGTCCTGCTTGTAGGCCTCTTTATGCAGCAGTAAAAGGGAGGCAGGCTTTTTTATTGTGTCAGTGGATTTAGCAGCAGTATCTGACAACGACAAATTTACTCAACATGAATTCAGAAAATCATTGTGGCATATTTTCTCAAATTTGAGCCAATTTAATAACTGCTGAGTGAGGTTCAGTATGAACCAATCAAGTTCTTTGATAGTCGAAGGTCATAATTAATCAAATAAATTCTTAAAATCAGTTAGTGTGTGTGTATAATAAGGACCACAGAGAAGGACTGTAATAATATAGTTTGATGCTTTCAGTTTTATCTGCTGTTTAACGCTCACAGGAAACCAGTCATACTACATTACTGTTAGTCAGCTTAAAAAATGGTCTGCATGAAGCTATGCTGTACATTTTGGCATGCTGATGTCAAGTGCTGATGGATCCACTTGGTGAAATATTTTCTTGTGAATCCTCTTTGACAATCTTCAATATTTCCTCTTTTCAGATCCTCTTGACTTGGTGAGTAGTTTCTTTTTCACTCAATATACAACAGCTTTCTCTAATTGTCACCATCTTTCTTTGTTAAATAATTACCACAAAATGATAAAAGGTGATGTTTTTTGCTTACTTATTAACAATATCAATAATCAGATATTTGTCTCTGTTCTGTAGGAGCCTGGAATATCACCTGGTAAGAGCTAACATTTGAATATTCTGTCAGCTGTCAACTTTGTTTTGGCAGTAGCTGCGCTTAAATAGCACAGCTCTCTACTGCCATCTAGTGGATAGCTCCATTGCAGCAACAATACTAACCCTATACTAATCCCTCTAAAAAAATTGAATATTGTGAAAAGGTTTTATTTTGTTTTCCTATAATTGGATTCAAAAAGGCAAACTTTAATGTATTCTGTATCATCACATGTTCACATCACAAGTGAACTATTTCAAGCTAGATTATAGTTTAATACAGATTTTTTTTTTTTTGTGGCTTTACAAAATTATCAGAATTCCAGCATCTGAAATTATTAAATTATTTGTGATCAATCAAAAAAACTACGTATAATATAGAAATGAACAATTTCTGTTAAGTTAGCACTTGGTTGGGGCTTCTTTACCATGAATTGCTACATCCGTCTGGCGTAGTCTGGTGGTGATCAGGTTGTGTCACTGCTTAGCTGTTAGGGAAGCCCAGATTCCTTTAATAGTAGGCTTCAGGTGTCTCATCTTCCCCAGTTTGTTGATTGAGGAAAATGAGATTCTCTCTGGGGTTTCAGGTCACGTCAGTTGCCTGGGTAGTCAAACCCAGCATTATCATAGTCAGCAAACCAATAAATACTAGCTTTGGTGCGGTGGGAGTTCCTAGTTCCTGGTGAAAAAGGAAATATGCTCCATACTTTTTGTCAGGTGGAAACATGAAGTGCTCTAGTAGGTGGTTACATTGAATTTTTACGTGATAGGACAGAGTAGAGCAGCAACCATCAACACCAGCAGATGGCATGGCACCCTAAATAATCAAAGATTGAATTCTAGCATGAGGTTTCCACAAACACTTTTGATTGCGTGCCTCTCCATCCTTCACCCAAACTCTAGAACCTTGATTCTAATTGAAATCAAAAGAAAACCTGGATCACTGAGCAACAGTCCACTTCTTTTTCTCTTTAAACCAGGTACTTGCATCTGATGTTTTCCATTGTTTCAGGAGTGGCATGATTTTAGGAATTTAACAGTTGTAGCTTTGATCCTGAAGAGGTCTACGTGTGGTGGCTTCTGATGCTCTGACTCCAACCTCGGCCCACTTGTTGTGAAGCTCTTCTTGAGTGGACTTGACACTTTTGTGAAGGCTCTGGTCACCTCTCTTGGCTCTGCACTCTTCCCGGCCGGTTCATCTTTTCATTGATATGCTTTGATACAGCACTGAACAGCCAGCCTTTTTTGCAATGACCTTGTGTGGTGTTACGTCCTCGAGGAGGGAGTCGACTATCATTTGGACAACTGTCAAGCTAGGAGTCTTGCCTCACTGTGGTTGCATGTACTGAAGTAGAACGAGAGATACACATTATTTATATAGTTTGAATACTAACTAATGCAAACCCAAAATTAAATATGCCAATAAGTCTGTCAATAAGCATCAATACTCCAAATTTGAGAAAGTCTGCAGATATTTAACTTTACAGCTAATGAAAATATAATATGTAAAAGTTTACCTTTCTCTATTATATTACAAAAAAGTAACCTTTCCACAATATAAATGCATTAGTAGAGTATGCAGAAGTACAGTAGAGATACACTGACTGACACTATTAGGTACACTTGCAGAATCTGATCTTTTCTTTCACAACTCTTCTACAGCTTTTGTTTTCTCAATGTCAGTGGACTTTTTTATTAGTGAGAAGCTGGAAGCGGTAATGTACTGGGCACTGACTGTTATTGCAGGTCCTAAGATGGTGGCAGTGAAGAACTACCATGGCACACCGGTGCCTCCGGGGAAGACACCTCTCTGTTTCCAAACAGGAGATTTTATCGAGCTTCTGAAGGGAGACCCGGATATCACATGGTGGGAGGTAGAGTAGTCAATCATTTTTAAATCAATCCATCCCCCACTTTGACACACACAGCTTGTTACGCAGACAGCTGATGTTGGCACAGCACCTCACACAGTGAATTTGAAATGAATCAGTGATTCTCATGTTAAATTCAATTTTGTTTACCTGTGAGATAGAAAGTATAGAACATAAGTCAAGGTTCTGTCTTTGTTCAAATACCGGCACTTCCAGATCGAAATAGTTAGCATATAGGATCGCTATTATTAGATCTGGACAAAAACCTTATTTTATTGGACAATTGCAATGACTTTGGTGGAGTCTTATAATCAGCAAAACTAAAGTCTAAGCACACAACCTCCTGTAAAACTGTATATTAGTTTTTACACACACTGGTTTTTTTGTATTGATTGAACAAACAAGATATATGTGTTTATACTGAGCTTTAGAGTTGCCAGTAGCAAACGTTTTGTTGCCTTTGGAGCCATTTCCGTCATTTCTTTTCATGTTTTCTAACCAGGCTGCAGAAAGCACTATCAATCTTATCCCTCTGGTGGTGAGCAAGTACAGTAACATACCCCAAAATGCCCTTAATTCAAATTGCTGTGGAGTAGGCAAATCCCTAAGTGCTTTCTTTCCCCCCATGCTACAAAAAAAAGATAATTTTTCTTGTAGTTGCAAATCATCATCATATTCCAGCGCACATCTTGTAAACAGAGTCCCCTTGTCACCTTGTCAGTTTAAATTAATAGCGCTTTGGCTTGTGCGTCTCACTAAAATACCACAGGATACTTTAAAGAGTGTTTGAATGATAAACTGAGCCACGCTCGCCTAAAATTGTTCTAAAATCTTAGAGGAAGTTAAAGACTTCTTTGCACCTTCACCAATGGAAATAAATCACTTTTAGCTGAACATTAGAAGAAGTGTACGTGCAGACCTGGAGGATCCTCTGCAGTGAATTAGTCTGGATGATAGGAACTGTGACACTGTTTGCTCCAGGAACTGTTGGCATTCCTGCTGAATCACCGACTCTAATATCAGGCTGGCTTTTCCTGAAGTGACTCTGGGCAACTTTCTGATGACATTAATTGATCTTAGCTATAACAGTAGGCTATCCCTCTACAGCATGGCAGTTTAATCTCTCAGTGTGATGTCAGCGGGTGTGCAGAGTTTAAAATCGATTGCTGCAGGCATAAGATGGTGGAGTCATTTCATCCTCTGTCTGACTTTGATGGGGAAAGTTTGTACATACAACATCTAGCACCGAAAATATGATGCATAGTGTGTAATATTTATTTAGCGCCAAGTGAATACATCGTCTTTCAGAAATGTTTTGACAAAACTAATCCAGTGCAGATAAACTGGCACCACTAGGAGGCACCAACGTAACACTGTTTCACATTATACACATTAAACTAAAGAATCTCTGCTTCAGATATTTGTTTATCAATATAGTCTTACTTAACAATGATTACCTGCAAGGAGGAAATATAGTTCTCAGTTTTAGTTTTTCCTCTATACACCCTACAAATTTTTCAGTGCGCCTTAGGATTTCCAAATTTTCTGCATCTACACTAAACTATATATTACCCATTTCCCCTTTTTTCCACAGATGTTCTAAAGTATTTCTTTGCCTGAAGTAAGCACAGTTTTGTTTCACATCTAGAAATAAACTTACCCTGTGTTTGTCTTACAGGGAAAGCTGATACAGACACAAAAGAGCGGCTTTTTCCCCAGTTCCTATGTAAAGCCTTGTTTGGACCCAAAGGTAATGCACCCATACACCTGTAAAGTGGGTTGTGACTGATTACAGCGTGTATGATTTGAGATTGGACGAGTTTATGCATGTGCATGTCAGTTAGTCCTGTGCTGTGTTCTTTAATGAACGGTGTCTGTTATGTGCGACAGCCCTTCCAGTCATGCCGGTCGTCCTCAAGGGATGCAGACTACTATGGATATCCTTGGTAAGACCCATAACTGTGCATTTAATGGGCCTGTGCACTATAAGGTACCATTAGCCCAAGGTCAATATCCTGTAATTAGTGCAGATCTGTTAATGTTAAACTATAGCGTTATCTCAAAGCAGTGGTTCAATTGAAAGCAAGCTGACCCTAACCAAAAGATTAATTACTATATGGGTGTAGTGTTTTTAAAGCTTTTAGTGTCATTTGATGAAACAACTTTAAATTTAGAGGTCACTGTTTTTTTGTTTTGTTTTTTCTGTAGGTTTGCAGGAAACATGGAGCGGCAGCAGGCAGACAACCTTTTAAAATCCCACTGCAGTGGGACCTACCTTATCAGAGAGAGGACGGCTGAGGCGGAGAGGTTCGCCATCAGCATCAAGTGAGTATTTCAGATCTTACAGGAGAGGAAAATGTCAAGGGAAGGTTTTTATCCATATCTCATGGGGAATAAATATTCTCACAGGGAGCCCTGGTCAGCTTTTTCTGTGCATCTTTTAGCTCCAGCAAATTACTACTCAGTAATTGCTTTTTTTTTTAATCCTTCCTTCTTTTGTGCCTTTTCAATGAGAGGATGCATTCTCAAGAGGGAAAAAAAAAAATCCATGAGTTCTTTACTGGAGTTGTCATATAATGATGGGTTGGGAAAGGGAATGCACATTTACACATTTGTGTCTAACTCAGGTGATGAGTGACTGTGGGGACCAGGCTCAATATAATTAAGTAAACAAATCTGTTAAGAAAAAATACTTAATTTTCATCTTATTCAATCAGATGTACTGAAAAAGAAATGTGTGGAGCAGCAGAACACATTAAGTTAAGGGCACAGGAGAATACAGGCTCAACAGTAATATGCAAGATATGGATAAAGAAAATCGATAACAGTGGAAAAACAACATCTGTTCTTGGTGATTTCTCTTTACAGATTCAACGATGAAGTAAAGCACATCAAAGTCATTGAAAAAGACAGCTGGATACACATCACAGAGGCAAAGAAGTTTGAAAGTCTGTTGGTAAGTCATATTAAACTGTTAAAAAAGAAAAAAGGTCATATATTGAACTGCCAACACAGAAACACCCATAGGAGCTTGTTGTCAATGTGAAAGCAGAAAAGTTCACCTTTTTGTATCCTGTTACTTTACAGGAGCTTGTGGAGTACTATCAGTCTCATTCGCTGAAAGAAAGCTTCAAGTTGTTAGATACCACACTGAGATACCCCTACAAGTCGAGAGAACGCTCGCTTACGCGGGCCAACACACGCTCACCAGGTAAACCTTTTGAATTTTTCTCTGTTCCAATACTTGACTTTCCACTTCTGCAGTCATTCTGATACCGCATAGGAGCCAAACTCTGCAAACAACACAATCTGTTAGTACCAGAAAATCATATTAGATCCTTGAGCAATGAACAGCTAAGTACAGCCAGCTGACAAATGATAGTCAGTAAGCGTTTTGGCAGAGCACGGTTTGATGTTTATCGGTTGTGAAAGAGAGCCTAATGTTTGTCCTTCCGTGTTAATGATAACTTAATCCAAGTAACTTAATATGTGGATTCATAGTATAGATTAAGTGACCACGATGCTTATCAGTGTGGTTCTGATGAAGCTAAGTTTTGAGAACATCTTCAGATAAAACATCCATCATTCTTTTAGAAGCAAGTTTCACTCCTTGGCAGGCATCTTCATAACAGCACCTGGGAGTTTATTCAGGCTAACACTAAGCCCCTCTCTAAATGAATAAGGAGACAGCCGCAACGTTAATAAAAAGCTGCATAAATAACCAGAAAAATCTAATAAAAAAAGGTGACTTTGCCTCATGATATTTAAGTTTTATAAAGTTTTATACAGCACCTTCAAGAGTTAAATTCCACTTCAATCCAGTGTGCCAACAGAATCAACATATCTGGTTGATCCCGCAAGGGCATTTGAACAAATACGAGACTAATTTTCATTATGGATGCAGTAAGCCAAGAAAAAAAACTTGTATAGATTTTGGAATCACTTCTGTCTGTTCTGTTTCAGCTATTATAAAGCAGACGGTTGGCCCTTTGGAGGGAGTAGTAGGTACAAGATTTATTCAGATATTTCTATTCAGGATTCTTTTTAGTGCCATGTCTCTCCCATATAAAATCACATGTGGTTGGCTTTGGACTTGACTCTTAAATACACTATGACTTGTGGCTTTAACTTTTCTACCACTTGACTCATGTTACAGACCTCATTTCCATTAATGAGCTTTGGGTAATGCCCACTGGAAGTTGAGTGGAACCACCCAAAGCTCTAACGAGACATGCACAGACATCTTCAAATGCTAGTGTCAGTGTTTTTGCATGGAGACTGAAGGAGCATTGCATGTTAAATACCTGCTTCAATGCACGATTATGAAAATACCTTTTTCACTCTCTGTTACCAAAATACGCTGGTCCAGTACAAATTAAATTTCATGACACCGTGGCTGTGGATACTGTAAGAAGGGGGTAAAATAAATGAGACACACTTCCTCCCACTCTCTTTGTCTTCCCCTGTCCTCTATTTTTCCCAAGGACAGTGACTCTCATGACTCATACAGACAAAAAAAAAGATGGAGGCCAGAGGGGCAGCTGGGCAGAGTAGGAGGGCAGCAGTGTGAAATGATAAAGAGAGTGACAAAGAGAAAGTCAGCTAACTCCAGCCTGTGGAATGACTGAATTGGCTGCCCTTCGTGGCCATTACACTATATGAATACTGGCTGTGTCTTTGCGCTAGCTTCTGTCCTACACTGGCCTCACTTTGTTCGCTCTTCACAAAGACCCAACTGGCCAGTATAGTGAAATCATTTCTCCTCCTGTTTTGGCTGAAGTTGTACACGGATGGAGACAACTGGAGTTTTTGCTAATAATGGGTTTCCTCTCAGTTTTATCCTTGACTGTTTCCAAGCGCGTACTTTTACTTTTCAACTCTATTATGATTGAGAGGGCTGAGTTCACACAAACATTTTCTGATAAGTCAAATCAACAACAATTGAAGCAGCTGGAAAATATATATTATATTATATAGCTGCCCTATTTATTTTATATAAAATAAATAGGGCAGCTACTAATGATTATTGTGGGGAGTTGATTTTATATAAAATAAATAGCACAACTACTTCAGTTTTATTTCTGTAGTGCCAAATCATGACAACAACCCCCCTTAAGGCGCTTTGTAACGTAAAGGCCCTGTAATAATAGGACCCTACAATAACCACACGTGACACACAGGCCCAACGACATCCATATCGTATGTAATGACATATTAAGAACAAAAAGCTCAGGTTTCATGTGAATTTCAGTGGAGCTTCATAAGATGTCACCTTTTACTACTACTACTGTTTTCTTGATCCTTTCAACAAGTTGTAACAATTTTAGATCCCTCTGTCTATTATTCCTCAAAAAAGGAATTCTGTTCCAAGTCCAGGAAAAGGATTTGTAAAAGGTGGTGTGGGATTTTACACATGTGTACAGAGATAAGAGGAAGCCAGTCAGTTTTCTTTAGTGGCCACTTTGCTGGGTGGCCAGTGCTAACTCCTTTGCTACATAGCTCCAGGTTGGCCCCTCCTTTGTGGTTCAAAGTTGCTCCAGATTTCTCAAATGCATATTCACAATGGGAATTTTCTGTCCCAGAATATCCCAAAGGGTGACTCTATTTGACTTGGATCTGGTGGCTGTGCAGGCCATTTGAGTGATCTCAATGTCAAAAAAGCTGTTTGAGATTATTTGAGCTTTGTCACAGTCTGTATTATTAGTTTTTTGTAGACCTTCAGGTAAATATCTATTCGAGAAAAATAAGTTTGAGAAAAAATAAAATCAAATAAAGTGTGACCTGGCCTGGAGAGCTGCAGAGATTTTATACACACAAGTGACACAATGTGCAAGTGAGCAAGCACAAAATCAAGATCATGTGCAATTATACATCAAGAACAAAAAAGGTCCAATTTCAAATAAATTTCAGTGCATCTCTAAGAGATATCACAGTGAACGAGAGTACTAATTTTTCAATCCTTTAAAAGTGGTTATTCCAGAAAAAAGAGCAGCATAATCAACACCTCTGTCTTTAAAATATTAGAAATTAGAGGCTGTAAAACTATGTCTTTATATTTAAAAAAAAAAAAGGAAAAAATAACAACCAATTGGATAGTAGTTTAACATAAAATGGTAGTAAAACATGAGGAACATCGGTATAGTGTCCAGCTTGTTGTGTTTCTTGAGTGCGTTCATAAAGAGCAGCGTATTCATTGCCTGGAGGGAAAAAAATAAAGAATCTTAATGTAAGTTTTAGCTCTCTGTCTCCTTGTTAAATAAAAGAATTAAATGCATACCAATACTAAATAATAATATCTTTTGATAATTTCACTTTCAGCCCTTTTAGCAGCTTTTATCTTTCTCTTTATTTGAAAATAGCATGACCTTGGATTTTCCTCCATTTAAGTTGAGTTAAATGGGAACAACATGAAACGCAGACTGCAGCTATTTAAAGGCTTTCACTACTGTAAATAATAGATAACAGTGCCATCTGCATAAAAATGGAAAGCAGCATTTGATCAGTTGTCACAAATGATGAAGTCTTGTTAATCCAACCTTCAGTTGGGCTGTCATCGTAATGCCTATTAGTGACATTATATGTTTTTCTTAATATAATATAATGTAAATTGTACAGTTAAATAAACATAACACCAAAATGTATTTTGCAGGTTGGTGTAATACTGAATAATAATGTCACTAATAGGAACAGAACAGACTCTTTCTAAAAAACAACAGAGTTCCCACGCTGCTTCTGTTTGAGACTTTGTAAATAAATTCACACTCTTAAAGCAGTCAAATTGCAACACCTACATGGTTAAGATTAAATATAATGAGAACCGAACGCACAGGCACACAAAGCTTCAATGCAAAATCTTTTTATCTTTCTGCTTCTTTGGCTTCGCCTCTGCATGTGTTCACCTCAAACATTTTCCAGCTTTACTTCCTCCCTTGTCTCGCTCTCTCTCTCTCCTCCTCTCAGCAGCCACCTGTGCATCCTACAACTTCTCCTTCCTCAGTCCACAGGGCCTCAACTTCTCCTCCTCTCAGAGCCAAGCCCCCTTTTGGTCAGGTACTATCTACTTATCCTTTCCTTTCCCCCGCTGCCTCTGTTGTGTTCTCGCGCCGCATCTCTTGTAATTACATAATAAGCCTATGTACCTCGACCTCATTACTTCTTCTCTGTGGCACTCTTTTCATTAACAAGAACACTGCAGTTCTTCTCAGGATGACATTTCCTCATTAAATCAAGAAAAGAAAACCAATTTCCTCTCCAGTGATGAAACAAGTTGTCCTGCTCACTTGTCATTTTGTGGCAACAGCGTGTCACGCTGAAAACTGACCTGACCATCTCGCCTCTGTACATTCTTCACAACTAATTATTACCATTATGTTCAGTGTGACCTTGTCTTACAACCGTCACCCTCATACATAAACATGAATATTCATCAATACCAGTAAATAATAACTCTTGTTACGAATTCAGCGGTGTGCCATTGAGTTAATTAACTATGGCTCAACTCCTATTGTTATCAATTTTCAGTGTTTACACCTCGAGTGGTCAGCACAGCAGTGGCCAGGTATAACTTTGCAGCGCGAGACATGAGAGAGCTGTCACTGCGAGAAGGCGACATTGTCAAAATCTACAGCAAGATCGGTGGAGACCAGGGCTGGTGGAAAGGAGAAGCCAATGGAAGAGTAAGTAACTATGAGTAAAGTGTTTAGTTGTGGATGGGAAATTGACCAGACCCGAGGCATAAAAGCCACCACTGGATTAAATACCTTAATGTTGTAATATTTTGAGTTTGATCAAAAATGTATCCAGTTAACTTTATTAAGTTAGAGATCTGCAAAAGAGAAATTTGGGGAAAGCATGTCCCCAAAAGTGCATTGATACATTTGACAATTTAACCAGTGATATCGGGGGAAAAGGAAAAACAAAACAAAAAGATGTGGTTGAAAGACAAAAACTAGCTCCTGGGAAATGTGCCAGTTTAATAGGATGGCGGTAAAAGGGAATGTGATGTCAGCATTTTATTTTACGAACGTTCCCTATTAGGCTGTAAATTTAGAGTTGTGCTGTGGAGCCAGAGGATCTCCACAACTTGAGCGGTTGTAAAGCTAAACCTTACCACACTCTGCTGTACAGCCTGGTGTAAAAATGCCACAGAGTCTAGTTTTGATTTTTATCTGTGTTTTCCCCACCTTACTTTTATTCTCTTGTGTGGATTGCTGGAAATAAGCTTTTAACTTTCTCCTATGAAACCATCTGCCTGCACACGCAGTTTCTTTGGATTGGTCTCTCTGTAATGTATGACCTTGATGGAACAGAAGTGGTAAAAAAGGTCATCTGTATTCAGTTGATGAAAGCTGAAATGTGCCGACTTAAAAAAAAAAAAAAGCACATCTACACCTGGTAGAACTCAGCAAAAAAAGTATTTGCTAATGCAGTGTGTACAGCAAATACATTGACATTTGTGTATCATATACTATGATAACCAGGTCGACTACTTTAGCTGGTTGCAAATCTAGTCTGACAAAGCCTCTAAGTTTTCATGTCTTGATTGCTGCTGTGTATGAGAAAGACATCAAGCTCACAAAATTAGATACTATTTATTTCTACATTATGAAGAAATACCCACCGTAATTGGATGATTTGCTGAATGTAGTGGCTATTAGTGACGACATCAGAGCTGCTGTTTAATGGCTTTTTACGTCTTTTTTTACATTCTTGATATTTATAAGAATAAGATTTGACCTAGGTGAATAACCTAGTGCAACTGATGAGTATTCATTGTCCTTCCTTTGCTGTGTTAAACCCAAGAAAAGCTTGACTTCCCAGTTCTGTGTAGACATGACTTTGTGTAGCTTCTTATAAGGTGAAGAACGTTGCGGAAGTCTCCATTCTGTGTCCAGCAAAGATAAGCTCTCCCAGAGCCTATGCTAAGTAGATTATCATTTGGTTGGTGGTTTCTCCACAAAGACCCATTACATATTATGGGTTCATTTACTAGCTCTTGTTCATTTTACAGCTGAAAGGTTTCTATTAGCTTTTTTCTTTTAATGTAGTTTCCTGGCTAGCTGGTTCTGTCTGGTTTCAAACTAAAATACGGCAAAATATGAATTGTTTTATTCCACGTGTGCACATGGGATGCGGTGGTCCCTGCAAATATATTTTCATTCCCCTGCTGTTGAATTAAAAATGACCATTTTGAAATCTTCACATATCACGCCAACCCTAACATTCATGTGCAGCACCACAGGCATCACAGCGATTAATTCAGCCAATATGCATGGTGCTGATCTGTGTTTATGGACAGTGCACATGCTACTAATTGAATCACGACTTAACTTGAGCACATAAAATATTATTGCTTCTCTTTTTAAATTAAGACATCTGCTACTTTCAACTACCTCATTTCAGCATTTTAACACCCAGTCCAATTCAGGAAAATTAAGAGACTCAGGATGAGATTTTCTTTTGACAAAACATACCCAGATACAGACCTCAACAGGTATTAATGGATGTCTTTGTGTTGCTGTAAATACAACCTTTGTGTTTCTATTATCTCTGTTAGTTCAGTACATGCTTTACAATTCTAACAAGTAGGAGAAGTCGTAGCCTAGCAACAGCTGAAGTAGCATTTGAAGTAGCCTTCAAGTATTTTTTCAGAACAGAGGCAAGGATGCTGCTGAGCTGTGCAGTTATCGGAAAATAACGCACATCTTCTGCCAAAATAATATAGAGGAAAGAGCTCCGAGAGCTCTCGGCCTAATGTAGTCGTGGTGCACATCCAATGGATTCACAGCATGTAAACAAAACAAAAAAAGCAAATAAATGAACCCAATTAACATCTTTTGTTTATACTGGTTGATGTAAAATACTGTGTGTGTCTGATAATTACTGTTTCATGTTACAGATTGGATGGTTTCCTTCAACTTATGTGGATGAAGAAGGAGTGCAGTAAGGCTCAGATGTTGCTGGTCTGGCTCCCTTTAAATCAGGAACCATCTTCTATCTACTGTTCTCAGAGAAAATTACTCAGTCTCTCCAGGAAAATAACACAAGGGGAAAAAAAAAAAAAAAACCCAACAAAGAACTTTTTTTTTGTTGTTGTTTTGCTGGATACTCATTTTTCAGCGAGTGTTTCTACTCTGTTTATCTTCAATTATGCATCAGCTTTTGTCTTTGCTGGATGTCCTGTTTAATTTCTGTACAGGGGAAAAAAGGAAAAAATGGCTTGCTGTCTGTCAGCCTCTGTGTGCTCTGCAGAGACTTTACTGAGGACTGAGGACACTGCAGAAACTGACTGCTGATAGCTTTACTTTGAAAAAAAAAAAGGCTCCCCTTTTTTTGCAGGTCTACGCGAGGTGAAATAATTGTACAGTATAGATAATTTATTGAATAGAGATTATCATCATTACTAATGATTATTGTGGGGAGTTGATTTTAAGCAAAGAATCTGATCCGAAAACCTAAAATAAGAAAGAAAAAAAAATGCTGTGTTTTTTATGTTGAAAGATTTTGCCTTAGTTGTCATGGTGATGCCTTGTGGGCTGTCATCAGTGGAGGGAATCGACTTTGTTGACTGATTTTACTTCTCCATGTATGCATGTGCTCATATGTGGCCCACATAAACACGCACACGCACGCACACACAGACCAATGTACAGTATGGTGCCTTTGAAGAATGGGTGTTGCTTACTGAACCTCAACTTCAGCCACTCAAGAACATTGCCATGCTCAAAAATACTTCACTAAAAGAGGAGCTTGAGCCCCCGAAAACAAGATGGTGAGGCATTTATGTCCTAAATGGCCACTGGATGAACTCACTGGATGTGTTTTTCTTTTTTTTTTATAGCCAACACAATGCCATACACAGTCTACAAGTCAGTCGTCAGTCAGATGGATATGAAAGGGAAAACTTTCAACTCAGCAGTCACGTCACACAGTCTCAGTGTTTTTCATGTGATTTTTCTTGCACAGAATCATGCTTCTTCATTTTTTTTTTTAAACTGGACCAACAATTTTTTATTATCATTATTATTATTTAAAGCCAAATTTAGCTGTATTTCAGTGTCTGCACAGGATTTAATTGATTTATGATTTTTCTACCTTGCCTTACTGTTTTCTAAAGAGTTGATCAGGTGATGGGATTGTATCCCCCTTAATTTAAATGTTCCTGTGTGAAAATTATTTTCGTGTTGTGCAGACTGATAAACAGTGTTTTCATCTGAAGGAAAAACTGTGTGTGCTATAGACGTTAAACCACAGAAGATGTACTTAATCGCTTTGTGATTTTCTAGGGTTGCGGTGCTTAGTGTTTCCATTTATTTCCACTCATTTCTTCCTGCCATACACACTTAATAGATTTATAGCTATTTACACCACAGTGTGCTGGCATCAGTTTTTCTATTGACAGCACAAATGTACCAGGCAGCTTTCTGAATCTAGTATTGTACAGGTATTAATTTTTGGCAATTCTTTCTTTTAAAGGGTTCAGTTGTTATGGAACACGATCTACAGTTTAATGAATGGCTTTCATTTCAGTCTTCTCATTTTTCAAAAAATTACCATGTTGATATATGCGGACATTGAAAGGCAGTTGACTCTGTCCCTAAACATCAAGGACTCCTTCAGGGTCATGTACTTGTGCACCCGTGGGCCACTTAAAGTGCTGCTGCTTTTATTAATTTTATTCTCACAATGTCTGCTTCTGTAGTTTTACCATGGATCTCAAATTGTGCAGAAAGTAGGGATGCGACTGTATCCAACTAACCCAACTTCCAAGCCATCACTGGTGGTAAGAGTTAGGTCTCTGTCGCTGGGCAGATTTCAGTTAGGAGTTAGCAGTTTTCAAGCCCAGAGGCAGCATATCAGTTCAGCCATATGCGTTCCTGACATCATGGGGCTGCGCACTCTTAAGCTGAATGGTTGCCATTTTGACACAATGTGGGAGACCTAGTGTGAGTTCGAGTGGAAGGGGATAGAACAGGACCCACACAGGGTGATCTAAAAATAGCAGCAGCAGTGAATGAGGTCATGCTTGGTATTGTATTGATTCAGCACACACAACCAATAGAAAAAGGTTTTGCTAAAATTTGAATGTATGTAGATGTTTATAATAAAGACTGCTTTCTTGCTGCAAATAGGTCAAAAACACAAGTCAGTCATTACAGCTTGAACCAACTTAACAAAAACCTTTGGAAGTAAAGTGCAAACACTGAGCACATCAGCTCTGGCTGGTTCACAAAGGCTTATGGAGCAGAGGATGCCAAAATGTTTAGATTCTAAACATGTAACCGTCTAAGATGTGAATTGTTCCAAAGGCCAAATGCCCTGGAAAACACAAAGTCCTACCACTGTGTAACGGGGACACACAGGAAGCCTCCTTTTTGTCTGGAATAAGGGGTTTGGGGGACATCAGCTGTAGTCACTTTTTTCTTTTGTTTTGTTTTGTTTTTTTGTAGTGGACAAGAACCCATTGCATGTGGCTATTAATATTTCAACTCCTGTCAGTTCATCCTCAGAAAAAAATAAGTACTTACTCGTGTACATTTTTTGGATGGTTGAGTATTTCCAAATGAGGTCTATCATGAATAAATATTTCTTTTGGTTTAAATTTGAGACTGGATTCTTTTCATTTATTTTATTGCAAAATTGTGTCACACAACACCTAAACGTCAATCTCCAAATAGTAGAGTGAATTTCTGAATTTCTTGAATTAATGCTCTTTTATAGCTACATATTTCGATGATCTGCTTTATAGACATCCACCTAAATGTTGAAGGATACAATCTAATATATCCAAGCCAATCAAATAACAGAACTTCCTTTTACTAAGATTATCTTAAAGCAATCACATTGAACAATGTTATCATAGAATCCTCACAGTGCATAGCTTTGAATTTAGTTAATTAAAGTCTCAGCAGGACTGCCACTACTGCATATTTTCAGTTTCAAGTTTTCAAACTGTCCTGAAACTTCTCTTTAATTGAGCTCACTCTGAGTGTCACACTGCATATCCATATTTGCTGTTATACTCTGCTGGTGTGTGTTTGACCGGCCTGTGTCCGTGGCTGGTGCTGGAAGGAGTGTGGCTGAGTCCCTCATTCAACGACATCACCTCAGTGCCATCAACCGGGCAGTAAGTGACCTGTGGGAGCTGACTGGCGCTCTGGCTTGTGTGACGGCTGACGGGGCGGCTGTCAGGAGGTGGCGCGTCCTCCCTGTTTGACATAAAAGTGGAATAGAGGGAGTTAAAGGAGCATTTCTACAGACAGTAAATGCAGAAGCTGGGCAAAAACAGGCGATTATTTGAACTGAAATACTAAAATATATTTGAAGTTACAGTTTAACATGTTTGGTTTGTTACTGTAATTAGTCCAAAAAAGAAGAGAGTTATAAGAGTCCTCTAATTGGCAACAAATAAGCAATCTGGCTTTTACAAAAAATACTTTTTGTAAAATATTTTCTGACTGTATAGGGGAGGTTCTCTCTAGGTACTCTGACTTCAGAGACATACAGATAGTGGGGTTAGATTAATTGGTGACTCTAAATTGGCCAGTGGTGTGAATGTTGTCCGTCTGTCTGCCTTTCCCCTGCTTCTTACCCAGTGGCAGCTGAGATAGGCTCCAGCCCCCCTGCAACACTGAATTAGAGAAGTGGAAGAGAATGAATGGATGCATGGATTGTAGATCCACTTTAACTGCTAAGCTTTCATAGTATGAATGTCTAGCTTTATTTTCAGGATAAGCTTATTATTTGGGTGAATATGCCCCCATCCAACCAAATTCTCACTAACTTTATGTTCAAAGGAGAAAGCCACTGCATCAAATGGACTTTCAGACATTATTTCCTTCAGAAAGGACCACCTGTGAACAATAATAAAGTCCAAACCAATACTCCACTAGAATCATTAAATACTGGCTTTTTTGCTGGCCCAAAACAAATCAACACAAGTTGTTGGTCTGGCTGTACTTTCAAAACAGATGGATAGAACAGCAAGTGTAGACTTTGGAGCAGTTTGCATATCATAGCTCAAAAACCAACATGGAACGAAAAACTATAGGATGTCTATGTCTATGTTCTACAGCTTTTATATTTAACCTTGAAGGCGTTTAAAATATCAGAATTGTCATATTCCAATATGTTTAGTATGTCAGTAGTTTTACAAGAGCAAGCACATCGAGCCATAGATTAACCAGCTCCAGTGTAGCAGCAGCTACAAAGAACAAAACACTGCACATGAAGGCTCCTCTCTTATCAGAACAGAACAATAATATTGCCATTGGATTTAGCAAATGCAGTGCTCTGGAAAGGAGGGCTGTTAGCATTATTACTGAACAGTTTTTGTGTTATATTTCTATTTGGAAACACTGGCAAGCTCAGTGTGTTGTTTCAGTTTGAAATACCAGCGTTAAAATATATAAGAGGCAATGCTGCAAATACTAGCTTTTTAATCTCCTCAACATTTGTTTAGGCTTATAAGGTTAGTGGCTAAAATAGTAATGTAACCTACATTACTGTCAGTGGTTTGGGTTATGCTTATTGTGAAGGATACGAACAGTTATCTCTGCATTCATCAAAAATAAAACAAATGAAATCATTTTGGAAGAAAACAATGGGATAAAAATTGAAAGTGTTTTAGTACAGCCCACTTTAAACACATTGTGGTATTTATGAAAAAGAGCAGTCTTATTTTTTAGTTGCCTTCTATATATTTGTTACACACACACACACACACACAGTGGACATACACTATTTACCGAGCAAAATAATGTTTCCCTGTAGGTAAAAGCAGAGACCTTTGTTGTTTTTGCCTATTTGGAGGCTCTTCCCAGGGGCCCCTACTTTCACAGCAGACCTTGCTTTAACTTTCTCCTCTTCTACTAAAGCATAACATTCACTCTGGTGGTGGTTTCAACCAGCAAACACTGACAACAGCATACAGAAGCATACAATCTCTCCTCGTCAACACTGCCAGCTTCCAAGCTTAGCTACTTTGCATTCTGCATTTATATAACTTTGAAATACCAGCTGGAATCTGCTTTTCTGTCAAAGAAAACATCCTCACACCTATCGAATTCGGAATTTTCTTCTCTCCTGTGCCAGCCAAGGACTCATGTTTTTGTCGGAAAAGGAAATAAACTTACCCTGGTTTAGTAGAAATGGAAAAAATTGGGCAAGTTTGGCTCTTGGGTGTGTTGGGTCTAGCATCCTATGAGGGGAAAAAAACTGCCCTGAACTGAATGTGTACTAGTTTAATTAAACTCTAATTAGTATCTTATTTCCAAGGTATTCCCACACCTACTTTATTCTGCTAGTGAAACCATTTCACTCATAATTTATATAAAGGCTGATTTGAAAACTGTTAACCTGCATACAGAATTAGCTGCAAGTTATTAATGGATTCATACCGATTGTTTTCTTCTGTGCTTCTATTCATTTTCATTCTTCCTGCATAATAATGTATAATTATAATATTTTTTGATGTTTTTTAAAAAAAAATCTTTATACAAAGGGTTTGTTTCTTTTTAAAATGACTTCTTTATATCTGCTGTAATTATTGTAACACTGCTTTACACACTGAAGCCTGGATTATTTGATCTAGGATTATTTATGTTAAGCCTGGATCAAATGAGTCAACTTGGACAGGCTTCAGCCCCCTGCAGGCCGATAAATAGGTTGACGTATATTTTTGTCAGGTAGATTGACTCCAAATGCATGACGGTTTTGCTTGATAATTGCTTGATGTCTAAATAAGCAACTGTTGCTTTCAAGTGTAAGTCACACTGTTCGATCTACCAATTTCATCCTCAGTTATAGGATCACTGTAGTCAGAAGTATCTGTCCAGCAGCAGTGCTCCCAGTGCTTTGATTCAGTGTGAAATGCTACATCTCCCATGTTTTGGCCACGATGGAGAGCTGAGTCACTATTTTAATTGATATGATTCTCCCTGTGACTAATCTGAACTTTTCAAGCTGCTTTCTTTACTTTTTATCCAGAAAACTCAAGTCCCCAGTGGATTTGACATTAACTATAGTCGTCATCACTCAAGTTATTAGAGCTTTGCCATTTTCCATCTATTAGCATTTCTCTCTGATGACTTGTTCATGTGAAACGTGTTGAACCTCAGTATGTCACAGATATGGAGAACCGTGTATAAGTATTGTGGCTTGAAGTGCTTCTCTGTCTCCTGTGCACAACACTGTCCTCCCACACTGACACTGCACTCGTTTCAATGTCTACTTTGAAAGCATGTGGGCTGTTTTCAACTGGATATGAACCACAACTCCAACATTTCTTTTTTTTTTTTGTCTTTTTGGTGAGACAATGTTTATTTGCAACAGGAGAAATCCTTTCAGAGATGTCAGAACATAAGGTCATCTGCAGAACATTGCCCCTAGAGTAGCACTGCGCTTGGTGTCCCACATGCCCTTTTTAACTAGTTACACAGTTTTCACTGTTCCAGAGCCAGGGGAGAAAACTCCACTAAAAATAATAACCCAGAAATGAACTAATTGGATTTTCTCACATGTGGATTTTTAAACCATGAAAATATTTTCACAAAAAAAGGCTAAAAAACAGGAGGATTCGCAATTTGCAGAGGTCTACTGTAGATTAAAAAAATGTAATTAATGGGAAATTTAGAGGTAGTGAAACTACCTTAACTGCTAGTGAAAACTTGTCCCCATTTCCAAGTAGGTGTACTGTTGAAAACTGTACCAGAAGTGACGGTCATCAAAGCCTTTTTTGAACATTCCTGCCAAAGTACAAAAAAAACCCCCAAGAAAATGTAGCAGGAATTACATAGGTAATAATGTGAAAAAATACATACATCCTGTGCATGTTTGATGTATTTGAAATGTAAACGCGTTAGAAGCGAGTTACCTGTCTTATTTAAACCTCTGACATCAAGGGCATGGTGTTCTCTCTGCTGCTGAGGTATATGGTGTCATCGTGCCAAGATCTGAAGAGCTCCCTAAGGCCTTAAGTAAAGACATTGTTGATGCCTGTGAGTCTTTCATGGGATTTAAAAATAGCTCCAAAGTATTTTAAACAGCAGACATGTTTGACGCAGACCAAAGGCAGCTTTTCTGGAAAGGGACTTTGTACGAACTGTGAAGCATGTTGCTGTTATGATTTGGAGTTGTTCTGTTGCCTCAGGGACCAGACAGCTTGCAGTCATTGATTTAGCCATGAATTCTGCATCATCAAAGACTGCTTAAAGATGATGTGAGGCCATCTGTCCAAAAGCTGGAGCTGGACCTTAGGATAATGATCCAAAACAGGCAAACAAGTCCACCAAGGAAGGTCTTAAAAAGAAGGAAGGGAGGGTTATGGAATGGCCAGGTTTAAGTCCATATTTGAATCCCACTAAAATGTTGTAGACAGGGAAATTAGCATATCCTTCAATATATTGGACAATATGTTGAGAAAAATCTTAGCAAGCATTTTCCAGACAGCAGAAAAAATATAATTATAAAATAAAAACTATTCTTGGGGCAGCGCTTTTGCCTCACAGCAATAAGGTTCTGGGTGTGACTCCACCATCTGGCTGAGGCCTTTCTGTGTGGTGTTCACATTTTTTCCCTGTATCTGCACTGGCTCTCTCTGAGTACTCAGGCTTCTTCCCACTATCTAAATACATGCAGTTAACCCTTTAAGACCTACCATAGAACCAAGTCCGCCAGAGCTTATATTATATGTTTACATGCTGTGGAGCCATTTTTGGGAGCATTTCA